CAAACGCGCTCAACTTAAGTCAAGAAATAAGTTAACTATGAATCACGTCATATAATACTTTTAAAAGTTCGAATAAATGTCTCAATAAAAAAATAATAACTACTGTTTTTATTTATTGAAGTATAGTTATTTTCAAATAATAAAACTCAATATCAACGACACGTCAAACTTTCTTGTTGTTTTGTTTTTATTTTTTACTGGATAATTTTGGACTAAACTAATTAGCTTCTACCGAGTTTGGTTATTCTCAGTCCCAAAAGACATTACATTTTGTTTTTCGGACTGTATCAAGAATAATCGGAGAGGAAATGATAGGCCCGATGGGAATAATTCTAACACTAAAGTTGATTTGTTCGAACCGAGCAGTTCCCCGATATTATCGCAAAGATTAAATTTACCAAGTTTGAATGGATGACTTTTTCATTACTAAGTATTTCCAGTACTACCCTCGGATAACAGAGGTTATCAAATATAGCAAAAGAAAACTTATATGACATAAATGTAAATGATGTGAGATAAAACTTTTCGACTAGTTAATATTATTATTGTATTGTGGGACAGATATTTTGATGAGAATAATTTTATTTGAACCAAACTTTATGCCCTCATTTTTTACTAATTGATGTTCATTGTTGTTGTTGAAATATTAGCTTATGCACCACCATACTTGAGCGAATGTTATGTAAATAACAATGGTTTTACTTAAGTAAAAGTGAGTGTGAGTGAGTTTAGATTTAAAAATTGCATGCTGAAATGCCCTAGCTGTCGACACCCCCTGGAGCATAACTACCGTGGATGAAAGGGTAAGAGTGAGGCCTACCCCGGACAGCCATAGGATGAGGGTAATTCTCGAGAAGTTATAAAGTCAATTCTGTACATATGTAATACATGAGCCTATGTAAATCAATGACTTAATCAATCAATATTGTAAATATACATTATATGTTCAAAAGAAAGGTTTTACTTATGTAAGAGTGAGTGTGAGTGAGTTTAGATTTAAAAATTGCATGCTGAAATGTCCTAGCTGACGACACCCCCGGAGCATAACTACCGTGGATGAAAGGGTAAGAGTGAGGCCTACCCCGGACAGCCATAACACGAGGGTAATCCTCGAGAAGTTATAAAGTCAATACAAACGACGTCAAATAAATGAACCTACGTAAATCAATGACTTAATCAATCAATAATGCAAATATAAATTATTATCTTTCAATTAATTAACTTCCCATCTCAACCCCACCTTTTGAATTTTCTGTCCTTTTTGCCATTTTTCAAATGTGGTGTAATCTATTTGATTCTCGGCGACAAATGAAATGGCCACGGAGAGCTTTAGTGAAGGTATACTTCATTTAAACTTATTAAATGCACTAGTTTCGTGGTCCGCTTGACCAATTAATATCTTTCAATTAATTCCGGATGAAAAATGGCAAAAAGGAGGGAAAATTCAAAAGGTGGGGTTGAGATGGGAATTTAGTGTCCGAGTGGATCGAAGTCACGATAGCTCAAATGGTAGAGAAGCGGCGTATCTAGCCAAAGATCGTGGGTTCGAATCACGCTCGTGACACTGACTTTTTTATCTCAACTAAAAACCTTATTTACTTGAAAGATATTAATTGGTCAAACGGACCACGAAACTAGTGAATTTAATAGCTTATTATGTTCAACCCGTTGCTAATTCCATGAAAATTCATTCATTCACTACACATTCAACTTTACCATAATTTTATATTTCATTATTTTAGGATTAATTGAACAGTGGGCAATAGAATGAAGCAAATAACAATTTTACAAAAGTTTTGATCTTGTTTTGCTATGAAGTTTCAATACTGCAAGTTTATGTTCATAGATTTTGTAAATTATTAAAAATAAATCCCTGATTTTTCAATACAAAATTATATCAGTAACGTTATTATTATTATTAAAAAATAATCTGAAGATGCAATGACTGGACTATATGGAGGTTAATTTAAATGAAAAACGTGTAATATTTAGTACCGTTATCGTTATGTAATGGTTATTAGATATATTATTATATACATCGTGAGATGCGCTCTTGTGTTATATATGTACGGTATGACTATGAATTTATACAATGATGTAAACAATATAGAAATTTTAAGTTTACTCAAAGTACCTGCACACACTCAAAGTGTCTGTTTTCTGTGTAGAAGTGTCACTGTTGTGTGTCGTGTTGAGGATGTTAATATCACTAAAATTTCTATAATGTGTACATCATTGTATAAATTCATAGTCATATCTTGTATGTATTTGTATATTCGAAACGTGGTACGATAAAGAAAATTTTTTTCTAAACCTACCTCACCCCAGACCGCATCTCATGATCTCTAAATAATCATAAATGAAAAACTTTTAACAGTTGATTTTACAATATAGGATGTGTAAATATAAACAGAACTCATTTTTGAAAAAAATTCTAACTTTATTCGATTTTTTATTTTATTTTATTTTTTTTTGTAGCCATAACGATGTGTAGCCATGCCGCAGCCAACGCCCCGCGAACCGCCGGAATAGGGGGAACCAGCTTACAAAAATATATTGTTCGGAGAAAGTTGTGTCCTTTCTCATTGTACGTGGGATACATGGGTACCCAGTTTCACCATTAATGATTGAGTCATCTGTAAATTTTTTATAAAACGCTGAAGAAATTGTATTTAAATCGTTCTTAAAAAAGAATTAAAGGGGGAAACTGAGAATAATCACGTAAGAAATAAACCTATTTCTCCTCCGTAAAAACGTAAAAATCTCTAAAATATTGGTTGTGTGTGGAAGTTATAAATGTTTTTGCTCGACGATATTGGAGCGTTTGGTAAAATGGGAGAAAAAGATCATGCCCAAAACCAAGGTCCGGGTATTGATATGAAAAACAACCGTTTTCTTTAGCATTGTGATCAAGGAAAGTGTCACCAATGCGGTCTAAACGACAGAAATGCCAAGAATGGGAAAAACACTTCAAACTGGGATGTTTTCCGATGTACAACTTGTAATATATTTAATGCTATGTACTGTTATTTGCTTATACTTAGCTTTTTTATTTTAATCCATTTATTTATTTTTATATTTTTTTAGCTACATTTTGATTTCTCATTTAGTATCACATTTTTTATACACATATTTTACCTGCTAAAATTGCTATTTAATTACTATTTTAAGTACTATTATTGCTATTTAATAAAATTTTTCGACCTTATTTATTATGTATGTTTTTGATATTAGCATGGTGTGTACCATAAATGAACAATATTTTGCAGGGAGGGAGAAAGGACGAATTTCCAGTGGTGACGGTGGGAATTGAACTCACGGCAGCAGGGTCTACTAGCCGAGAATAACGCGCTAACCATCGCTACCGCCGTATCATGTTTTAAAATTGTTGCATTACTTACATATTCTTCTTTTTAATAATAATACAATTTTTTACTCATAACTCATCCTCGCTATTCTTCCGCACTGGTAATAACAAAAAGTTTGAAGCACTACTATTGATTGTTACAATTTTTTAATGATAAATTAAGATAATCCAGTTCCAAATATTCGATCGTCGTGCCTATAAAAGAAGTGTAAAAGTTTTATTTATTATGTTTAATAAATTTATTATGTTTAAATCATGTTTAATCGCAACGTTAGTAACATCTTCAGGGTTAAATAAACCCCAACTATGATAGGTTATTGATGAAGTAGTTAATTATATTGTATTTCTTGTGGAGCATGAGTGTCTGTTCGAGAGAAAAAGAGGTAGATAGTGTGTGTTCGGTACTGTATTAAAGGGGCTAAGTTCTTTAGTTTTGCACGAACGACCTGTGTTGATGGTTTAGCATAATGTGTGAGCCTTGAATTTGTGCGGAAATATTAGTCAATTTGAACAAGTCGTAGTATTCGACCATATAATTTTTAAAAACTATCTTTTAGTCGAATATTTACTTTTGAGAAAAACACATTAAGAATTATAAATGCATTTCAATCTCCTCAAAAAGTAGTGTTTACGAAAAAGATCATGTTGAATACACGGTTTATTAAGCCAGGCGAAAATTTGCGAACAATCCTTTTTATCGTGGACATACGAAATGTCGGGGTTTTAATGTAAAAACAGTCAAGTTTTTGTTTTTCGGTGTTCAAAACGCCAGCATCTGTGAACTATCTTCCATAAATTTTCTTAACCCTTTGTTTACGCCGTAAGGATTGTGAGAGATATGATTTCGGAAAACCCTCCACGGCACCGTGCTCGTTCTATTTTAGACAGAATTTTTCATTCGTCGTGTCTTCTTCGTTGGCAATTTATGCAAGTAGTGATTCGTCGCCGAGTTTATTTTATTTTATATTTTTATGAATTTTACCGTCGTTGGTGATGTTCCTAAGACATCTGCGTGGTGAACGTCTCCGTCCCGAATTTTCCTGTCTTTTCCGACCACTTTCCTCTTTGCACCCCGTTTACATCAATTGAGGTAGACGGAATATCGTCACAGGAGGTGTGTTTTTATTTATTTTAATTTTATTTGATATGGTATGGTCATAAGGATATTAGGAAGCGGGACTTGTTTTCCCCAGACACTGCAGCCTTCTGGCTTATTGTACCTTTCCAGTTCCTTAGTTCAATACCATAGACTCAATCCTTCACCTTAGAAGTAATAGGTCATTGACTGTCGATGCTACAATTTCATTCCGTAAGTTTTTTTGTATGTTAGGTTAAATCTCCATTGAGCTCTTTCTTCCCATTCGAAGATGACATGGGTGGCTGTTTCCTCCTCCTCATTGCATAATCTGTAGATGGGATCATCGTTGTATATGCTCATTTATTTTATTTTATTTCAATTTTAATATCCATACAGTCCATTCATATCAAACACCCTAGTTGTAGAAATAAATAAAATCATGCATAGTTTTTAGAACAGGGTATTATTATTTGTTTAAACATTTAATTTTGATATAGTCGTCGTTATTTTTAATACACCCAACTACTTGTAAATGTAATTAGTCAAGCAGCCTACCTTTGTATAGACGCCAGCGCTGGATAGCTCGTTTTCGATGACCATTATGATGATACCAAACATGCCCATGACGAGTGCATAATCGCTGATCCTTTTCCGTTTTTCGAACAAGGCCTTTCTCCTTCCCAGCCGGTAGCCCACGTTCGGTTTGTGCTTGGAGCCGTTCAGGTTGCCCGAGGATCCGAGCGACTGTCCTTTACAGATAAGGCCGCCGCCCAAGGCACGTTCCTCCGTGTACCTCGGATATTCTGAGTGGACTCCGACCAGCGCTATTCCCGCCTCCTCTGTATTAAGACCACCTCCACCGCCGCCCGCCGCCCCTCCTCCCTTCATCGCGCCGGGGATCGAGAGAGTGGACACGGGCTTCCGCAGCTAAAACCCACAAAGAAATGAACATTATAAATTACGAATGAAACCACTGGAAAAGAAAGTTTTTTTTGCAATTGTGCAATAATGGTTTAGATTATAAAAAATCGTGATTTGATCGTTTCAGTACATTTTGGTCAGCCGGTTCTCTATTTATTGGTTTGTAAGACACGCTTTGCTATTTTGCCGTTTCCACTTTTTTTAGTTCGGACAGACCAAACTAGCAAATATAAACTCAAAAACGATCTGTAGCGACCTACCTTCATGTTCATCTCTTTAGAACACCTTAAGAAATATCTATGTAAAACTGACATAAACCTCTCAGGCCGTGGGAACTACGAGAGTTTCGATACGTTTTAGATCGCAAAACTTATCTTATACAAATTTTTTTCTAAATGAAAAATTTGTGACAAAGGCGGGGGATTCGAACATACGACTTTCGGCCTAACACGCCGTTGCTCTACCATTTGATCGACCGTGACTTCGATCGCCCATGCCACAAACTACACATTTCGACTCTCGATGGCATGTGCTATAACAGATGTAAACTTATCTCCCTGGTTGTTCAGACCAGAATTGTTGGTTGGTTTTGGAAGGTGTATGCTGGGATATCGCAGAATCTCTCCAACCAGTTTAATTTTTATTTCATAGTGGGAAGCGCTAATAATTTTTATTTAGAAATCGTGAGATAAGATGTGCAAAATATATTTTTTTATATATTCGATCAATTGAATATATAAAAAAATATATATATTTTGCATTGTATAAATTCATTTTTTAACATCCAAAATGTACTGTTATATGTCACCAATATTTGTAAATCCCAGGCCCTGAAGATGATCTCAATAAACATCGAAACGTTGGCCGATAAAGAAAATGTTTTTCTGAAACCTACATCACACCAGACCGCATCTCATGATTTCTAAATAAATATCGATTAACGGTCACTAATCACTACACAGCGCTAATAATTTTCAATTCATTCTTACTGTTGGTTTGTATACTTTTTTTGTACTTTTTCAATGTACATAATATATTCTAACCTTTTTATTATTTTTATCAACTTATTCCTAATTATATAATTATTCATTTAATTATACTTAAACTTTTCGAAATGAAAAATTTGTGTCACAGGTTGGATTCGAACCCACGACTTTCGGCTCAATACGCCGGTGCTCTACCACAAGAGCTACTACACAAAGCTACATCAATCGCCCATGCCATGGAGAGTCGTTGGACTTGTTCGACTAACAAAAATGGTTAGTTTGTGGCATGGGAGATTGAAGTCACGGTAGCTCAAGTGGTAGAGCAGTGGCGTATTTAGCCAAAGGTCGTGGGTTCGAATCCCGCTTGTGACACTGACTTTTTTATCTCAACCAAAGCCTTAATTAAATGAAAAGGATTTATTTTATCAAGCGGACCACGAAAACTAATAAAATGTAATTTGCAAAAAAATAATTAATTTGGTTATTTTGGACCACCAAAACCTATATTTATTTGACTACTATAAGTAAACATTTACCACATGTACTTAATACCCGATTGACAATGTTCGAATGTGACATAGATTTTTCAATTCGAAAAAATTGTGTATAATTTATTGAGTAATAATATATTCTATTTGATCGAATTTCTTCCAGCTACCACCTCCAGCAGAAGGTTTAGTAATAAATGCTGTATAAGAATTTATTTTATTTGTATTATTGTTTTTTTGTATAAATAAAATTATTTTTTCATTCTTTCAAAATTAAAATGTGTCAATTTACAATTAATCAGATTCCTTCAACATAAAATGTTTAAAGAAAAGAAATATGCTAATTTCACAATGTTTAGAACCAGAGATTCATGAATAAAATGAAGAAAGCGTTTCCTGGCGCGGTAAGATAGGGTAAATACGTGAGTAGGCTGTATTGTATTTGATATGCGTGTACTATACGTATGATCTGATTTATAACGAAATCTCACAACAACTCGGTACGATCCTTTCAACTTCGCCAACACAGCCGTTCACACTCTTTTCTCGACATTTATGAGGTTTTACACATATTTTCAAACAACGACGTACCACAAGGCTCGGATTAAAATCAATATCATGGAAAGAGAACAAATTTCTCGTTTATACCACCTTATTTCGATTTTACGAGAATCTCTTATACCGCAAAGAAAATCAAAGTATATTCTACTTATATATTTTTAATGGTATGCTCATCCAACGTTGTCTTCTAAAAATATGGAAAGAAGCAAAGGTGATTTTCTTAAACACATCTGTAAATGCTGCTTGGGCCACCACACATTTTGGTCCGACCAGTTTGTTTATTACCTACCTTAAGCAAGGTTTTTGAAAAAAAAATACTGGTTAAAAGATTGAAAAGATCTATAACGGAAAAGAAACTGACAAAAAATTAACAGTATTGGTTTTGTCTGAGTTTGAGTAAATTCTTTCAATTAGCAGGTTGTAAGTGCTATAACTGAAAACTTTCATTTACGAAAACATACTGGGATGGTTTAGCTGGATCTGGGAAACAAATCTAGCACAACGGGCTAATTTTCCGGATGATAGAGTACAAATATCCTCCGTATGTAATGAAAACAATACAATCGTATTTAAGCAATCGGTCTTTCAGGAAGTACGAGGTTTTTCGCTTTCTTCCCCGCCTAAAGGAGCAAAAGGGATTCCTCAAGGATCTTTGTTCAGGCCCAATTTGTTTTGTATATACATTAATGCTATCCGACGAATGAACAACTGTTGCTTCAGTAAATGAACTATGTATCTATAAGCTAGCAATTATGGACTTTAACTTGTAAACCTTACCTTAAAAAACTTAAAATTATACAAAATAAATTTTTAAGATTAGCACTTTCACCACACACAAACTGATCACCTACACCACACCATTTGATTCACTATAACCAAACTGTTACAAATAAAACATGATCGTAAAAAGACACTACAAATTTTTAAACATAAAAGTTTCAGGTAGATCAAACGCACTACGTAGCTCAATTGTCGAATATGGCATAATCGTCCCCCCTCTGAAGCCCGAATGGCTTAAAAATTTGTTGCGTACCAGAATCAACGGTTTTAATACCTAGTCATCATAATTGTTTATTAAAACATTTCCTTTTACACGTGAATTATTTTCTAAATTGTATAAATCTTTGATTATTTTAACTATACTCATTTATATATGGCTGTATCTGTATGTATTTATATTCATTTATTCAGCTGTTTTAGGTTCAATTTACTTTTGCACATGATTGTTTTTCAAGTTGATATATAAACCGATATGTGTGTCTAGTTATTATTTAATTAATCTGAATTCACTTATATGTATATAACTTCCAATTTATTGTATTTTTTCTTTTTGCTGCCTCTTACATTTCACTGTGGTTTTAGTGAATAAAAACTTTTTCTCCATCACAATATGCGTTGTTATTGAGTTGCTAAGTAAGGTATGTTATGATCTTTGATGTCAAAGAACTGCTAAATTTTTTTTTTTTATTGGCCTTATGATCTTGCATATTAGCGATAGTACGAATTCTTGTGTGTTCAAATTGGGGGTTATCGGGAAAAAAGGGCCAGAGGCGACGGTGGGAATCGAACCCACGACCGCGGCGTGAGAGTCTCTCATGCTCACCACTCGGCTACCGCGGTCCCCCGTGCTAAATTTATCTTTGTCCAAAAATGTAATTTTATTTAGAAAACAATATTTGCTAAAAAGACTCTAGCAATAATGTTTTTTCTATCTATCAAAAATATATACATGAAATAAACTTATTTAAAACCCAGTATCACCAAACTACATTAAAATTAAAAACCACGCAACCGATAGATGAAAGAGGGTAAAAATCATCATTTTCAGTTATTATCTAAACCAATTATGCTCAGTATACTTTTCAGACAGTGCATAGTATACATAAATTATCTTAGATTTTCTGTAAAAATTTAATCTCAACCACAAAATTTATCCAAATTTGATTTGTGCTGATAAATTTTCAGAGTTAGGTTATAAAGTAAATTATCTTTAATTGTACTATGAAAGTACCTCCAATGGGAATAATGTTCTCATCGTTATTCCGTCGTTTTACTTTCCACGTTTCTGAACGGCTTATTATTATTATATTCTCTTTTGTATTCACGCTATTTTTCAGGCAGTGTAAAATTATAAATAAAGTAGTATAATTTTAAATTAAACGTTTCCAGAAATATACGATTTGATGAAAAGCGTTGGTACGTAAAGCTTTTAAATGTACGTAACAAAAAGGCCCTGCAAACCGGATAGATTCGAACCCGACATACTTGCAAAAAGTTTTTTTTAAACATCGGAACTCCCAGTGTTCATATAACCTTGTACGTGAAAATCCCACTTAAAAAATGATAGGATGTTGTTCTAGATTTATGGAGATACGCCAAATATGAAAAATTACATCAAACCAAGGCTGCTTTGGCTGTGAAAAGCGGAATTAATGTGGTGTGAAGACAGTAACAGATAGTAAGTAATGAAGATGACAAATTGGCAGAAATTGAAAAATTCAAACGTATGAGGTAAAATCTATACAAGTCAATTTCACATGCAAAATAGCGGTAAATAACCCAGTTTAATTAAAAATGAAATAACCCTTGCCCATTGCTCAATATTAAAGTTTGTTGTTAAATATGACTATTATCGGAGAGTTATGAATGTACAAAATGTTAATGAGTATCAGTAAGACTGCCCCCACATTTGATTTACTTTGAATCTACCAAAAAGAGTCGAATTCTCTATTATACTTTTCTTTAAAATAATGACAAAATTAATTCATGTTCATTTTAGAAACTTCTAATTTTCAGAATGATTCAACAATACATATGAAATTATCGCATTGGACTTAATTCAATTACATTCTATTTGTCCAAATATGTGATTATTTAATGAAAAATATGAGATTGTAAAAAAGGGCTATCTTCCCCTCGTCCTTGACGACCTCCGCACACATAATGATGGATGGAATTAAGTTACAATCAA